TCTCTGGGTGACCGTCACATGTGATCCTTGGCTTGCTGAGAGAGAAGGACTTACAGAACCATCGGTATTTCTCACTGGGTTTTGAATGCTCTTGAATAGAGTTGTTTGGTAGGAAAGGAAAACTTCTGCAGTGCTGTGCTGCCTCCCGGTGGCTTTTCAGTTTATTTCCTAAAAGATTTTATTGGAATGAAAAAAATCTCTGGTGTATAGCATAACTACCTAGAGTATTTATGCTTTTCCTTTCATCCCAGTGCGATGGCTATGGCTATAAGCACCAGCAGAGGTGCAGAGGAAGCTGGCTGCCCGTGCTGCCACCTGTCCCTGGGGCTGTGGCTATTTTTTACCACATCCCTCTTCGATGCCCGTGTCTCCATCCTTTACCTCTTGGAGCCCTGCCCAGGTGGATTGGGCACTGGCAGCTCGCTGTCCCCAACCCAGCGTGTCTGTTCCCAGCAGGCACGGGGCAGTGGTGTACCCTGACCCCCTGCCACCCAGGTGGGTAACCGGAGCATGATGAACCTGCTCAGGCACGGAGCCTGTGTGCCTCTTCCAGCCCTTGGCTGCTATTTTGGTAAGCTGTTACTCCCCACCCCAGTGAAGACGTGACCCTTCTCAGCGTAGTTCTATAAAAACACTGCAGTCACCACAGGATCAAATTAGTGTCTATCTTAACAGTGGGGCCACCCCAGCAGCCCGGGGGGTTCTGTGACCACCCCTTGGTCCAGCCAGTGTCAAGCTAGTGGTGTGCCCAGCATGTGATGTAGTACATGGGGAGTGCGGGGACCCCCACGGCGCAGGCTGAGCAAGGACTGCACTCAGGGCTGAGCATCAGTGGGGGCTCTGGACAGCGGGCAGGCGTGGGAGGGGGTCCTAGATGGGCCACCAATGCTCGTTGGTGCCGCCAGGCCAGGCACAGGCGATGGTACTGTGCCACCCAAGGGTCATCAACCATCATCTGCTTAAACATGTCCCTGTCAGGCTCTGGGTATGACAGGCTTTTACACAATCGATCTTAGAGAGCTGCATGTAGTTCATGCAAATGATATGCAAATTACCACCCCACAAACCATCTGCAGGAAAAATTCAAGGCAGTGATAGGGTGAGTGCTGAGGGAAGTGTCCCTGCTGGTACATACAGGTGACCCGCAGGAATGACACTACAGCTGGTAGAAGAAAGTGGCCTATGTTTTAAAACTGCAAGGATGTTTGTTATTCCAGAAGAAGCAGAGAATTAAAATCATGAAAGAAATGTAATGATTGATACATAAATATAGTAAGCTTCTACCACTCTCGCATTTCACTGACAAAAACTGCCTAATGAGAGTTCTCTTTCCAGAGTGTGACATAGGGCACTTCTGTACTCCTGCTGCAGGGCTGTACCCTAACCCTGAGCCTGAGGACCATGGTATAGCTACTGAACCTACAGTAACAGGCAAGGAAAAAGAATTACTTTGCAGTAACTCAGATATTAATAACTTTACCCAAATCGCTCGCTTTTTTTCCTCTAGAAATAGCTCCTATTGACAACAGCAGCCTTAAATGTGGAGAAGATTATGCTAGTCTTTGATCAATTGTTTGTTTATTTTGGACTATTATTAATAAGGGCTGAGTCAGAACCAACTTACGCTCCATTATTTCCCATGTAGGCTAGACAATACTTTTTTTTTTTTTTTGCTGGGTAGCCTTGCAAATGCTTTCTGCTTTGAGGAGGTTTATTTCCTGGTGTGTTTTCCCAAAACAAGCAGTTTCTCAGGGGTCTGTTTGAGCAGAACTTGGTTGACCTGGATGATTCTTCCGCAGTAAGGCTGTGAGAGTGCAGTAGGTAGAAATGCAATAGGAGTGGAACGGAGGTGAAGAGGTATTGCTGTTATGAGCAGATGTAAGTTATAAGCCCACGTATTTCTTTTTTCCAAACCACAGTTTGCAAATTCAGTCTGATGTCACAATACTTATCTTTATCAGGGCTGATTAATTGGGGTAGCAGGTCAGCGTCTGAGTGAGTTCATGCAAGCCTTTCCATGGCTGTGCAATACACAGTGACAGGCAATCCTGACCGTCATCCTCTGTGTCATGGAGCACGTGGCTCCAGGGGATGCTCTGGGCAGGGCTGCGTTCTGACTGCTCTTCTTTCCATTGCAGTTTTAACCCTGGCTTTAGTCTGCTTAAGTCTACGGTAATTTTTTTTTCTTTACTTGTTTTCTGAAACACCGGTAGCTTGGAATATATGAAAATGCAGACATAGAAAGAAGGGCACGACTCTTGTTGGTACACTACATGCAGGAAGAGCAGCAAAATGAGGTTTGTTTTCTTTAGAAAGCAGTGAGTCGTGGGAGTGTACGTGATGCAACAGCAATGGCAGTGGTGGGTGCTGGTGCAGGGCCTGAAAAGTGGCAGCGGCATGGAGGCTGGGCATTGGGGTGCAACACAAAGGGCTGCATGGGATTGATCTGGATCTTAATGTTCACATGTTTCATTTGGCACCCCATGCCACCGTTTGAGAGGGGTCTTGCGCTGTCTCATCTGGTCCCTTCTACTGAAAGGACTCTAATAAAATTGGCATGATATGGGCACTTCCATGTTGAAGTTGATGCTTTAGGATTACCTTGGGTAAACGGTGAATCCAATTTATTATTCTCTTTATCCAGTATCACTGTGAATTAGGGTAGGTTGCTGTGGCGGTTCAGTGGAGGGCAAGAGGGCTGGCTCTGCCAGGAGATTAGGAGATGCTGGTATTGGAAGGCTAAGCACCATGAGCTCTCGCCTAAGCCAAGGGTGAACTTGGGGCAAGGACAGTGCATAGTACGTGCTGTAAGTGCGCAGCCGTGCTTCAGCTGGAGATTGGCATGGAAGAAGAGGGTGAAATGTTCTTTAAGTGCAACAAAATAAAAGTTTTGTGGTAGTTCCAGGTCTTCCTGCATCTGTCCTCTGTGCTGTTTGCCAGTGCTGAAACAGCGAGCGGTGGTCACGCAGAGCAAGGTGTCCTGAGAGCTTGTGTTGCTCCTGGGGAGGGACGGAGGAAGGACAGGGCTTCGTCCTCCATTCCTCTTCACTGGGCTGTGAGTTCTCTTCCCATTGCCTGAAATACAGCTCCTTTACCTGTGTTTTGCCCTGCAGCCTCTGAAGCCAGCCCCTGAGAAACGGGTGATCTGAGCTGTAGAAAAGAGAAGATGGGGGTTTGCTGATCTGCGTATCCAGCCCTGCATGTATGCACGTGTTGGTGCATGTGTGCCTGCTGGGAATGCAGGCACAGCCTTGCTGCTGTTTGGACCTAGGCCATGGGGCTGCAACAGCCTCGCCTCCGTTGGGCTGGATTCACCCACCCCTCTCCCCAGCACCTGGCACTGGCCTCCAGGACAGGGAAAATGACCACAGAGGTGCGTGTTCTCTTGTTTTTGTTGGAGTGGTGTCAAGAACGTTGAGCTTTGACCTCGGTGTTGTGCTGCAGAAGGACTGGTGAGGGAGAACAGGGTGTCCCGTCCTGGGCTGAGGAGGGATAGCACAGCTGGATTGCTAAAACATCTTAATATTTTGGAGATGCCCAGAACTTAAGTAAAGAAAATGTTTGATAGATTGACTAAAGCTGCCTCCTCCTCAGCATTTGGGCTGGTGACACGCAGTTCAGCTTTCAGTCTTCGTGATGCTTCGTGCTCTCTGGTCCTCCCAATGGCTGCTCGGTGTGAGAGAATGAGTGGTGGTGGTTCTCTGCACTTGGTAAAACTTCAGCAAAAGAATGTGCTGGTTTTGGCTAGGATGGAGTTAATTTTCTTCACAGTAGCTGGTATGGGGCTGTGTTTTGGATTTGTGCTGGAAACATCGTTGATAACCCAGGGGTGTTTTCGTTACTGTTGAGCAGGGCTTACACAGAGCCAAGGCCTTTTCTGCCTCTTGCGCCACCCCGCCAGCAAGGAGCCTGGGGGGACACAAGAAACCAGGAGGGGACACAGCTGGGACAGCTGACCCCAACTAACCAAAGGGATATTCCACACCATAAGGCATCATGCTCAGCATGTAAAGGTGGGGGAAGAAAAAGGAAGGGGGGGACGTTTGGAGTGATGGCGTTTGTCTTCCCACATAACCGTTACTGTGATGGAGCCCTGCTTTCCTGGGGATGGCTGAATGCCTGCCTGCCCATGGGAAGTAGGGAATGAATTCCTTGTTTTCCTTTGCTTGCATGCATGACTTTTGTTTTACCTATTAAACTATTATCTCAACCCATGAGTTTTCTCATTTTTACCCGTCTCATTCTCCCCCCATCCCACTGGAGGGAAGTGAACGAGTGGCTGTGCGGGGCTGGGTTGCCAGCTGGGGTTAAACCATGACAAAGAAATAACTCAAATTTTAATTGAGCTTTTTACCTTTTCAGTTTATCTCTAAAGTAGGGCTCTTGGTGCTGCAGCCATTCTTTTTACACCTCCGTGTGTCTGCCTGTACTTGTAGCGTTTTCTTAGTGGAATTATCACCTCCTCCTGAGTCCACCCTGTGCAGAAGCGGTTGCCTCTGGGAGATGCATAGAAATCTCTTAATTCTGAGAATAGTGGAAATTAAATCTGATCTTTCAAGTATTAGCCAGAAACTCTGTAAAAGATTGTTATTTTTCTGTCAAACCTGTTATTGCATAACTGGTTTGGTGCATTAGTACCAGACGAAGGGTGTGCTTTTGCCAAAGCGGGAGGTGCTTTTTAGTGCCTGAGCACTGACAGTGGGTTACACACTGCTGTAGTCCAGTCCTGATGGGTAGCTCTGTAAGCAGGGCTGTGTTTGAACAGCTGCATTATAAAGCAGCCACTAATAGCTCCTGAGCATTTGTTACATCTTTTTGTGTTTGACTGTCACCTTGTGACAGCCCTTGGTTTGCAGGCCACATACTGTTCCTTATTTTTCAAGTGCCTCTCTCCTCCCGAGCCCTCGTGCTGGCTTTGTTGCCAAATGCAGGAAAAGGGGTGTTGGGAGTGTAAGAGCCTCAATGTTTAATCTGCAGTTTAAGTGCCGGTTTGGCCTGTTCTGAGTGGCTTAAAAGCCTTGCTGAAGAGATGTGTTTTCTCGGGAGTTGCATGGCAAAGTAAGCTCTGCCCTGAGTGATCAGCCCAGAAATCATCTCCTGGCTGTTACCCAAACAAAACACGGGATTAACTTTGCCCTATGCATGTGTGCTGGCTCCTAGCTGTTAAGAGTCAGAGAGAGTGCTTAATCGTTCAGTCTGGGAGGATCTGTGCCTGTAGACATGGGAGTCAAGCTGCTCTGCCTCTTCCTCGCTTCTGCCCTCGTTGCTTACTACATCTACACCCCCATCCCTGAGGATGTCGAGGAGCCCTGGAAAGTGATGCTCATCACGGCTGGCTTCAGGGCCGTCGGGCATCTGGTGAGTTTGGTGCTGAGCTTGGTGTGGGGCTGACCTGGGGAAGAGGTGGCTACGGAGCGGGGAGTGATGTCGGTGCCTCTATGGCTAATAGAGAGCTGGCCATATAGATGTGTCATGCATACATATATAATATATCCATGGTAATATACTAAGTAAATAGCAGTAATATCTGAAATTAAGCATTAAATTTACTGTCATTATGACTAGATTTGATTGTGCAATCTTGAAAAAAAGTCAGAGTAACTGGAAATGTGATCTGTAATGTGACTATGGATAGATAAGTACAAGCAAGTTTATTTTGTTTTATGATCCTTTGTAGCTGAAGCACTGCTCCTTGGATTTTTCCTGTTCCTTGGAACCTGTATATTGAGCTTCCTCAGAAGTACTGTATTGGGTGTCAGAGAAAGGGAAACTAGAGCACTTCCTAAAAACTATTAATTTTTGTGGTTTCATAGGAATCTACTGGCTGCATAAGTCTCAAAACTACACAAAGCTAATTATAGGGGTGATAATGCTAAAGCATGTAGAAATTGAGAGATATAGATATATAAAAAAAACTTTTTTTTTTTAGTACCACTGTAATCTTGCCTACCAAAAAATGGTATCTAGCTAAGCAGCACAGAACCATATGTTGCAGTCTGGAAAGGCAGTGGTATTATACCCTGTCTGTAGTTATATGGCAATATTTACTGACAATGTGGTCCTTATGTCTTTCCATGCTATTTTTGTATATATTACAGCCCCAGCTTCTGCTTCATTTCAGTCATGTTATACAGCCATTTCAAACATATGTAAATAATCCGTGAGACTGCACGCCATGCATAAATAACAGTGCTGCAGTTCCCACCTCTTAAGTACATTCAACTGGGAGCTGTTTTGAATCCAGCCTGTACTTAATATACAACAGTGGCTGCAGCAGCGTAACCGAAATCCAAAAACAAGGTCAAAGATGAAGGTCTGGTGGGAGGAGAGGGGCAGAGTGTTGCAGACGTCTTTCTGGGTGGCTACAAACATTTTAGGACTGCTTTTTTCTCCACCATAAAATATATTGAAAGGAGGGTCTAAGGAGCCAGGAGAGAGGTTTCTGGTTTTGCTTGAGGGATGCTGCTGAAAGGCTTGTCTGCTGCAGGCGTGAACACCCGGGCTGTTCGCTCCAAAGTGCACGAGTCTGGGATTTTGCTTTTTCTGTTGTTTCAGCGAAAACACAGCGCGTATGATTTTTATGGTGGAGGCAAGGGTGTATGTTTTCCTGGGACATTTCCTAAACATCACACTTCTGGACAGCATCTAAAAGCCACCGTCAATCTCCAGATCTCTGTGTCAGACAGCCTTTGTTTGCAGTGGAGACCACTTCTTGGGTCTGTACAGCCAGCAGAAGGAGGGGGGAGGATGATGTTTTTGTTTGTGTGTGTTTATTTGTGGACGCTTTGCTGCTTCCTTGTTTGTCTTGATCTTGTGGTTTGAGGTTTGAGTGGTGGGAGATGAAAAAGTGGTGAGAAAGGAACTGTAGTCTGCATTTTTGATGTGCCGCCTTGCTTTTTCCCCTCTTAAATCTCCTCTTGGAGGTAGCCTGCAAGGAGAGTACATGCATAGGTAGCTCATTTCCCCAGGGACACCTTCTGTCTGCTCACTCAGTCAGACCTGTAGCCTTCACCACAGCAGTGTTAAATGCTCGGCAAGCAGAAATGTTTTCTTTCAGTGTTGGAGGATTGTGTGTTTTCACTTTAAAATGGAGTTGGTGTCTCTCGTGGCTGTTGCATTGGCTGCCTGTTAAACTGAAGCCTGTTAGCAGCAGCAGTGGTGTGAAGCAAGTGTGTTTTGTAACCATGCTCCAGTCTCATGCAGAACCGTAATCCTAAGGGACGCTGACAAAGATAGCCTCCCCAGAGCTGCCCTGGTGCAAATTAGATTTGAGGTGGCTCTAAAGCCTCCTAAATATGTTCAGAACGATCATCCGATTGTAGGGCCACAATTTATAATCATTTAATAGTAGGTCTAAGTTTGCAGAGGGGACTCTCTTTTAGTCTTTCTGACTTCCCGATGTTGCTTGAAAAAAGGGAAATAATATTGCACAGATGCTCCTGACCATGAGAGTCTTCCCTTCAAGCTCCCAAAACAGCATGCCAAGAAAGCCATGAAATGACAAATCTCTGTCCTTCTTTGTTGTCTTTGCTTTAATAGGTCCTGGGATGCTCTTCAGCTTCTGTGACAGTGTGTGAGATTTCCTTTGATTTTGGGTTTCCTGGCCTGGACAAGTAACTGGTTTGAATAAAAGGCTGCTTTCAAAGTCCATGCTGGGCATGGCAGTGAGTGCTGAGGGGCTCCAAAGGCTGGTTGGAGGCTCCTGGTTAGATCTTGCCATGGGGGGTTAGATCTAGCCTGCAGGGGATTGCAGCCGTGCTTAGTTTTGCTGGCATGCCCAGCCCGCAGTGTGCTGAAGAGTCCATTCGTACCCATCTTATTGTAGAAGGGAGACTGGGAATGTCTCCGTTTGCATGTTTATGCTATAACATCTCAAGCATAAGTGCTGTCTAGCTGGAGAACAGCCTCCAGCTAGACGAATAAACCAGGCAGTTTCTGTGGTGCTTAAGCACAAAATTCTTTGTGTATTTTCAGGAAGTGCCATGTGCACACAGTCTAAGATAAAATGTATGGAGGAAGTATAAAAGGCAATAAACCTTTTTCTTCCTAGTTGAACCTTTCACTGGCTACAGGTCTGTGAAATCCTTCCAAAGCTTCCTCCATCCTTGGCCTGCCTCCTCACAAGCGATGAAATCCGGATTTGAGCCCTTTACAGCCCCACTCACAAACTGCCTGTCTTCATCAGGGGGTTGGACTAGATGACCTCTAGGGGTCCCTTCCGACCCAAAACATTCTATCATTCTGTGATCTCCAGCTGACAGAAAGCTTCACCTGGAGGGGTGACTCCATCTGGACTGCCATCCGTTCAGACAAATAAGCTGCTACAAGCAGTGTCAGGTGCTCTGCCTGCCCAGGCACAGCCCGGGATCCCTTCCTCATAAATAATATTTTTTTTGTTTGTTTTTTAATCTTTTCTTCCATGCTCCCCTTATGGAAGATAGAGAAAGTGACTGTGGAAAATGCTTTCCAAAGCACAAGGAACACAAAACTCCAAAGTGGTTGGTTTTCCTCTTACCCCTGTAGCATGCAGTAACCTCAGATCTCGACAATGAGATGTTTCAGACAAGGGTATGATTTCCTTTTGTTTTTATATGATAATGGCCTTGAAGCCACAGGCAGCGGACCAGTGGTTTTCCACAATGTAAAAAGTCTGCTTGTGGAAAAAACAGCTCTGAGAGCTGGGGGAATTCCTCTGAGCGCAAGGGAGTTTCACAAGCTCAGTGGAAATACAGCAGGGACTCACTTTGACCTATATATTTATTTTTTTCGAGATGCTAATCCTCAGGGAAAATAGAACAGCTGAGAAATATTTATGTAAACTGTGTAATCACTGTGGATAAAAATACGCTGGTTTGGCATGTGTATGTATTTGTCTTCATTGAGCTTATGACAAGACCTGAATTTTCCTTCTGCCCTGTGTGCCAGTTACTGCCCATTTGTCTTCATCCTGATTCCAAACCACAGAGTTTGGCAGAGCTCCCAGCATCGCGTGGTCCAAGTCTTCAGAGAGGTGACTCTTAAACATGGTGGTGATCGCTATCAAGTGTTGTCAGTGAGGTCCTAGCTGTCTTCTCTTTTCTTCTAACTTCTGGAAAAGTAGGCTATATGTAGAAGATGATTAAATAATTGATTAAAATATAATTTAAAGAAAAATTAGAAAAAGCAGAACAGGCAGGGTTAGATTGTATGACTTACAACCTCAAACCCTGTGTGCCAGATGTTACACCTTTCAAGAGGTGATCAGTTAAAGTATGGGAGGTTTTGTGTGTTTGTTTCACATTCTTCCCGAGAAGAATAAAGCATCTCTTGGAAAGCAAAATTTCTGACAGGTTCTGCACCAAGCTGGGCTATTTTATTTCTTATTAAACTCAAACCTGCTTTGAATTGAATCTGTTTTTCACCTTTGGCTAACGTGTAAGACAGAACTTGGTTTTATTACTTAATCGTTTCTATTGCTATGTGATGAGGTGGTTGACTTGTGAGGGAAGCTGGGTCGTGTCTGCTGTTGCTCAGGGTGGTTATGAAGGAGCCGAGGTGCCGGAGCCAGCAGCAGGCGCAGGAGCCAGCGGTGGCCATTGGTAGCTCTCTGCGGCATGGTGCCTGCGCCGTCCGCACCGCTGTGCTGGTACGGGCAGGGCACTGACCTGGAGACCAGGCGGGGGAAATGACCCACATCAAAAGCTGAGCATGCGTGTGCGTGCACACGTAAACCGGCAACCCAAATGTCAATGCTGGGCATTTCCCAATGCTCTTTCCTTTCTGAGCAATTGATAACACAGCACTAGTAACAGTCTCGGGGGTGTTTGTTTTACTGAAAAGTTCCGATGAGTTTATTAAACTCAGGACTGCTGTTAATTCAGTTATCTTCTAAACCAAGCATTCTTATCAAAGTGCAATTACAGGATTGTTTATGTCTGCTCAGACAAAGAATTGTGCAGTGGCCTGAAATTTAGAAAAGCACTTTTATTATCACGGAGTGTCGGCTCGTAATTTTTTAGGGTGTTTATCTAGATTATACGCAAGTGCGGTGCACATTCAGCTGAAAAGGAATATGCAAATTAGTTTGAAATTTCTTCCAATTTTTCTTGAAATGAACTAGAATTCTAAGCTCGTAGCTTTTTCAGCAACTCAGATAGCAATGGCTTTCAAGCAAATTTGAAGTTGTATTCTTCATACCTTTCTATCATCTAAAAAGTAAACAAAATACACACACCCCCCTCAGCTATTCCTTAGTATATCATTAGGAATTAGATAATATCATGCTCCCAAATCATGAAGCAGGCCATGCTATTTTTACCTTCTAGCTGCAAGTAGCTCCAGCAGCCCATTGCCATGGCATACTGTGCTTTGGGGAGGCCACGCATGATAGGGGCTCCTCATGCTGCCGGCATCTCGCATGACTGAGATACCACTCTACCCACCAGCAATGTCCTAATGTGGCTAAATTTTTGTTTAAATAGGTATTTACACAATCTTTCACAGTATAGAAAATGAAGGCTTTATTTTTCTTCCAGTCATTGTGACACTTTTATGTCATTTTGTTGTATGTTACAAATTTTTAATGTGTCTTTAGAATAAGCTTCTAATATCTTAAAAGCAACATGAGAAGTAAGTTTCTTTAAACACAACTTAATCCAATAAAGAGGAAAAAAAGGGGGGGGAGGGGGGGGAAGCCAGTGAGATTTATGGATAAGCAAACAATGGTCACATCTTTACTTGTTGAAATTCTCCCAAGACAGCAGTGAGGAAATGTGGTGCCCCCTTTGGGGAGCTGTTGGTTTTGGAAGGAGTAGTTGGGATTTGCATTTCTAGCACAGTCCATAGCCTTTAGAAATGTTTTTGCTTGGATTCACTCTTTTCAACCAAAGACTCAGTATAATGAAAGCCAGCACAATTTTTTTTAAAAGTGTTATGTTCAAGGTTTAAAACTATCTGTGAGTGAAAGGGATTCTGAAATGCTTTAATCTGCGTAAATTGTTACGATGGCAAAGATTCAAAGCTGCCAAATGTTAATCTTCTGGAGCTTGCATTTCACCTACAGGTTTACTTGTTAGGGTTTGGGATTTTTTTGTTTTAATTTTATTTAGTGTCTTAGAATAACTGTAATCTAATTTAGAATCATAGAATTTCATAATAAATGTTTTAAAACATGAATTTCAAAGGAAACTGCTTTAGCAGCATTTAAAATTGACAGTTCCTTGGTTCTGAACTCCCTGAACCACATGGCTTTTCTTTGGTCAGGGAATTTCTGTGGAGCCCACTGGGAATGTTTTCCCTGCCCTTTGCATAGCTCTGCCGGGGCACTGGTGATGCACAGGGGCATCGATGGCCTCCCCTGCTCTCTCCACCTCAGAGGACTCTGCAGGGGCTGGGGCTCCAGCACTGCTGCACAGCTGGGGTAGATTCGAGATGTCTAGGGAAAAAAAAACACCACCTTTTTAAAAAGTTAACCCTTTGGGTATTTTTTTTAAGATCCCCCTGACTAATGCATTTGTCAGGCAGATGGAGGTCCTGGTTAGCATCATCCTTATTCCTCCTCCTGGAGGATGCTCCTGCTGGCCATGTGGAGTCTCTCTCCAGGTCAGGGAGTCACTGGGATTGTCCTCGGTTGGAGTCAGGCTGGAGCCAGTGTTGGGTGACTGTGGTGATGCTACACCAGAGTCACTTCATGGTCAGAGGGCTGGTGGAAATCAAAACATCAGTGGCAGGGTTATTTTTAGCTTTTTATTGTGAAATATCAAACTGATGTAAGGAAAGTATTTGGGTGGCTCAGGCAAAGCTGGATCTTCCTCAAGGATGATGGCACAGGAAATAACTTCAGAAGGTAGAGTGGCACGGGTAGCATGATGAAATTTTGTCTCATCTGCTGACCTTGTGGAATGGACAATAAACACAAGAGTCAATATTTGTTCCGTTATTCAGTAGGAGCACTTAATTCCATAGAAAAACACAGAGGTATGTAACCAACAGAATTGTTTGATGTAAACTGAAGAAATTAAACAGAGCTGGACTGTGGTAAAGTGGCAAAGATACCCTTCTGCCTTTTAACATCTCAGAGCAGAGAAAATATTTCCTTTTAATAATGTAAGGGTACTCATCCCTAAATGATACTCCTTGGCTACTGGGATGGAACTGATCATTAAAAATAGCTGTGCGGTTTGAAGTCAAATTGTTGTATCTCTGTGTTTGTGCCACCAGTGTCCTCGGCATCCTGAAAGTACTGGCTGCTTTTGCTCCTGCAGTTCATCACAGGAGCAGGTATTACTAGGTTTTGTGGTAACCATCTGGAAAAATGAGGAGGTCTGGCTCATTAAGCAGACCCTCATATTTGGTCTCAGGAGGTTTCAGCTGATTCAGTTTTCTTCCACATCCTCCATTGTGTCCTAGTTAGCTTCTATGCCTGTGCTTCCAGTCACTGTCTCAGCTCTGACAAGCAGTGGTGTCCCCTAGGCCTCCTTCCAGCCACTGCTGCTGGGCTTCACATGGAAGTGAATATGGTAAGGGAGTTAGACAGTGAGACAGTGGCTCTTCCAGGTCAGCAGCATTTGGCTTAGTGACTTCTACAGCAACTTCACAGACCTGTGCAGAGTATCAAATGGCTTTATGAAAATTTAATCTCTGAGAGTAACTAAGGCTGTGTTTAAAACACTGTTTTCCTTGTCTTTAGTCTGAGGTTGCTCATCAGCTGGGTCTGATGCACTATATGGAAGCACTGATGCTGATCACGGCTGTTGAATACATCGCGCCCACGTCCGATGAAAATGTCACTGTGACGGACACAGAGTTCAGCAACGTTGCCATCCGTCTGTACCTGCCCAGAAAACCATCTGATGGGCTGAGGAGGGCGGTGGTCTACTTCCATGGTGGAGGATGGTGCCTAGGACAGGCAGGTAAGCTCTTCTCTGTCAGTACCTGGGGTCCCTATGGAAGATCTCAATGGCCCGTGTTAAGTGCTGCCTTTTGATTTATGGGAGAGGGTCAGGGAACCTGTATTTCACTAGTTAAAATGCACCAGCTCGGGAGAGGGTGGTCAGTGCATCTTGAGGTGGAGGGCAAGGGGTCTGGTCCAGGGCTCTGCTTCTGTCGTGGTGTTTTACCTGCAGCACTTGTCTTCGTTACATGGTATTAGGGGGAGAAAGGGACAAAACTGAGTATCTTAATAAGGAAAAGAGCATCTACATAGTGGTAAAAATCAAATGGGAGATGCAGAGCGGGGGGTTTCTTTGGTTCCCAGAAGCTTGATTCTCAGACACTTCCTCATATCTCTTGTTTGGGGAAGTCAGGGGGTATTTATTGTCCCCTGAAATCTATTTTAGGGAGTTTTGCCATATCAGAAGTCATCTATTGCTGCATCTTTATATCTCATGAATGCGCTCCTAGACAGGAAAGCACATTTCTTCGGTTTTGGTTACAATTGCACTATCAGTGCTCATCTGATGCTTGGGTGTTACAGCCAGAGGGGCTTTCCAAAATGTTCTAGTTCAGTGTGCCATACTTTTGCTATTACTTTTTCATGGGAGTGATTCATCTTCCATCCCAGTCACATTCTCCCCTAGAGCACATCCTCTGTTTCTCTTTGCTGTCATTCAGTGCTTTGTGTCAATGGATATAAAATATCTTAACCATCACCCAAACTGGCATTGTAAGTGTAGTAGATATGGCTGGCATTCCCAATAACCAACCCATAGCTTGCTTCAGTTGTTGGGCTGCCTGTTTCAGGGGGAATGAGCCAAAATGCTCTTCCTGGGCAAGCTCTTTAATTTTGGTGTGTGTGCATGTGAGTAGCTGAGAGCTTAATCTGTGCCCTGGTGTAATTCTTGTTTCCACTTTTCCCTGCTGTGAAAGCTGAGCCTTCAGGACCTTGCATTATGTAGTGCTCAGAAGTGTAAATAATGTATTTTGTTCATCCTTTTGGATAGCATTCAAGCAATAGTTGGATTGTTTCTTCCAGCTTGTGCTTCTGGATAAACCCATGTGTGCCGCGGTTGCGTTGTGCTGCTGCAGATGCACAGGCGGGTGGATGTTTTGGAAAGTCACCTGAAAGCTTCTGCACAGAGGAACATGCTGTTGTGTATGTGTTCGTTCTTAGATGTACTGAATTTCATTTCAGGCATGAAATCCTATGATCATCTGACAAGATGGACTTCAAACAGATTAAATGCTGTCGTGGTATCAGTCAAGTAAGAGAGATTCTCCTCCTAGGTGGGATGAGGGTTTGGAATAAATTAATCTATTTCAATTAATCTAATTTTAAATTTTTTTTGTTGATCATGTGCTTTGCTAGTTTTAAGTATTTGTAAACAAAAGGTGTCAAGGTTGCAGTGGTGCATTGTGGTTGGTGATTATTTTGGATATTGCTTTATGAAGTTGGGTGGGTAATAAAACATTTGATTCCTCAGGACAGACAGATAGTTCCCATTTTGCTGGGCACAGAAAATAATAAATATTCACCAACTAGGGCAGATGCTAGTGAGTCTTTCTCTTTATAAATAGCAGGAAGTAACATGCTTCTGCTTGCCTCTAACAGTTACAGGTTGGCACCTAAATACCATTTTCCCATTCAGTTTGAAGATGTATATTCGGTAACGAAGTTCTTCCTCCAGAGCAGCATCCTCTCCCAGTATGGGGTGGACCCAGACCGGGTCTGTGTTGCAGGAGACAGTGCAGGTGGCAACTTAGCTGCAGCTGTGGCACAACAGGTAAAAAAACAAAAACAAAAAAAAAACCAAACCAAAACAAAAAAAACCACCACAAAAAAAACCCAAACAAAAAAAAAAACCAAACCAAAAAAAAAACCCAGCTGGTTTGCTAGCTCTTTTTTTTTTTTTTTTTTTTTTTTTTTGTCATTTCATGAACTCTTACAACAGACTAACAAAAACCTCTTCTCAAAGCATGTGCACCTCCCAAATGTCTCTCATGGTCTGTGTACGCTGGACATTGTGCAGCCTTGCAGGACTGTTGGCGAGGACTCTGAGATTCCAGCCAAGCAAATTGACTTGAGCCATTTAATGGCATCAAAGTAGCTTTGATGCTATGATGTCTTCCAAACCTTTAAACCCTAAAAAAAGGCTCTCTGCCCTATAATTAGGGCATGTATCACTCTATCCTTACGCACCTTTTGACTGATTTAGGTATGTTGTTTGAAAAGGAAATTTTAGCAGTTTGACTTGTATAGATGTAAATAGCAGCAAAAAAAATAAGAGAACTAAATGTTCCAGTGTCATTTGATCACACACAGTTTCAGTGCTGTTTGCTCTTCTCAGGTTTATTAAATAAAATCAGCATGATGTTGTTGGTCTCTTGAGAAGTTATTTGGATTGTAATGAATCTCATTTGGAAAGGTTGTGAATGTGCTGTGGACACTGAAGGCAGAAGATGAGGGAGAAGGTGGAAATTTATTAGTGAAGAGGGAAAAAGGATGACGTATAAGAAATGTCAGTGTTCAATTAACCACATTTTATTTTACAAATGTCTAAAATGCACAGAATAGTATTTGTTTGAGTTCTAACATCTCAGGGTTAAAAACCCAAACAGATTGATAAGCTCTCAATTGTGTGAAATGATTAAAGGAGCCTCAAAAACCTGCCATTTTTAAACTATAAGAATAGAAATTTTCTGTAGTTATAGAAAAGGCATTTGTTACTACTTCAAAAAGAATATTTTCTTGTTTAATGTAAGAAATAAAATGAAAGTGTATTTGATGTTTGAGAATTTTTATTACAACATACTGTTCTGGGTGACCTGCCTATGAATTTAGAATTTCTTTAAATTAATCTATCCTGGTTTTATTGATAATCTTATTTGGTTTATGTTGTAAAATGTGTGTGTGAATTCCTTACTTTTAAAATCTTCTGTCAGTGTGGGAGAACCAACACTTTTTAACTGACCTTTTGTAATTGCTTCTATTTTCTTCTACAGCTGTTAAAGGACTCTGAAGTCAAAACTAAACTCAAAGCCCAAGCTTTGCTTTACCCTGCTCTTCAAACACTTGACCTGAATTTGCCCTCTTACCAAGAAAATGAAAACAAGCCCATTTTACTCAAGTCACTTATGGTCAAGTTCTGGAGTGAATATTTTACTTCTGATCCATCTCTCAGGGAAGCGATGGCCTCTAACAGGCATGTCCCTGTTGAATCGAGCCACTTGTTTCAGTTTGTAAACTGGAGCAATTTGCTGCCTGAAGAGCTGAAGAAAGATCATGTTTACACCAGTCCCACCTACGGGAGCTCCGAGCTTGCACAGAAGTACCCAGGGTTTCTGGATCCGCGGGCGGCCCCGCTGCTGGTGAGCGATGACCAGCTACGCAGGCTGCCTCTCACCTACGTCCTCACCTGCGAGCACGATGTCTTACGGGATGATGGAGTCATGTACGCCAGGCGCCTCCAGGCAGCGGGTGTTTCTGTCACGCATGATCACGCCAAGGATGCCTTTCATGGGGTGATGATGTTTGTCTCTGGTCCAACCAAGCTAGCTGTAGGGCATCGGCTGCTGAACAGATATATTGAGTGGTTAAATGAGAATCTATGAGCTGAAAATGTTGCTCTGGTATGCCTGGGTCACGTTCACTGAGTGCAATTGAGGAGCATAGGAGAATAGGAGTTATGTAAGTGTTTTGGGTGTGATGGCAGTATTTGTGTTGCCCTGCAGTGTCTGGATTGAGTGTTTCTCATCATCTCCGGCAGGAAAATCAATCTGTTTCTAACCTAAGTGTTCTTTCAGTGCTGTTGTCTGAGCTCAGAACCCCATAAACAGCCAGGACTGCCCTGGGATTTCTCTCCTGGCCAAGATCAGAAGGGTTGGTGTGCCCGACCCTGCCCGCATGCTGCCTGGGCTCACCCAAGCCCCCGGCTGGCACAGCGTGTGGGACTTGATGTCTTGTGTCGGTTGCTTCTTGTTTCTTCTTCTTGCAATGTCTTCATGTAGCAGACTTGTGCAAGCGGGCAATGTCGTTGTCCGCAGGTGGGAGGTGCTCAGTGGCCGCTTGCTCCCTGTCCCCTTCGGTGTGCTCCCTTGTCCCACGGGATGTGCCGGTGAGGCCCCGCTGCTGCCGTCGGGTGATGGGGTGAGCAGAGGCGTGGGGACCTGACTTCCTGAAGTAAAAGGCAGCTTGTGAAACCCTGCCCTCTGCACGTGGCTGCTGGGTTTGTGCTGTGGTCTCTCTCCAGCACAGTTCAAGGGAAGCATTTGAAAACCAAATGGGATGGCTGTAACACAGCGCAAATGTTGTGGTGTTTGGGTTTTTCTTTTTTTTTTTTTTTTTTTAAAGCATCTGTCTTACTCAGTAATTTCTTTCCTCAACCCCTGTACTAGAAGGAAATAGCATAACAGAACAGCACGGGTATTCATCAGATAAAGGAAGTCTGTGAAGGTCCTAGCCTGACACTAGCACTGCTGTATGTTTTATGCTCTACTTAAGTTATGTACAGTGTGTTCTAATTATCCTTAAAATTGTTTAGCAGTTTTTACATGCAAATTTTTAAAAATAAAATTACTGTAGTAGCTGTATACTCTTGAAAAAGAAACACAATTCAGCTGTCAGTCTTGAACAAATATCCTCTATATAAATGTTTTGTGTATCAAATATAAATCCTACAGATTTTGAATGAGTGTACACGTTGGTTGGCTATTGGTTTTAAACTGATCATAACACAACACAAACATGTACTTCTAGCATCCTGCTTTTCTCTTTTGCATAAAAAATACTGAATCTTCAATAGTTCTCTGTTTTTCTGAGTGTATGTGTGCAGCCTGTTTAGATGGAATGTATATGGGATGATTGCCACATTTTTCTTTTTCATCTTTATTATGTTGAATGTAAAAATTAAATTTGTCTTCGATTCCAATGCAGCATACTTTGTGTTACTCAAGTATCCCATTTATTGGAAAGGAATAACAAGCCTTGACACATGCTGTAGCTATCACAGACAACTGGGACCAAACCCAGGGAGATGCTGTTTTACTCCTGCTTAGTATCACGAATGTGAGTACTAGGCAATGCTGGACTGTGGAGGTTGAGGAGAGAAACAGAAGTGGTTGAGAAGATGTCTTTTATCAAGAAAAGGATGCTGAAGCTTCCGACTGGGACGGAGAGCAGCAGGGAGCTGAGCCTGGCTGTGGGGAGGGCTGGCCAAGGCTTCTGCTCACCCCAGCAGATCGGTTCAGAAAATTGGGGTTGGTGTGGCAGCAGGAGCATTCTGCGTGTTTGTTTGTTTCTGAATCCAACCTTGCAATGGCGAATGCCTTCCTGCCAGCACACACCGGGCATGAAATGTACCATGGGACTAAAAAGCATCTCATATAGCCCACATGCACAGCAGTGCAAGGTGCTTGCATGGTTGCACATCTGCAGGCACTCGTGCAAGCTCCCAGCATGTTTGGGAAGTTATTTCACACAGCGTTCTCCGTAGCATTGCCAGCAGGTCCCAGCTCTTGCCCATGGGACTGGGAGCAGACATCTTGACTGGAGTTTTAACTCTCTCTCATTTGGAATCAAAGTATTCCTGAGAAAGTAGGGCTTTGGGGCTTTGCCTCAGTAATACCTTTGGTCTGACTTTTTATACAGTTATATGGTCATGCCCAGAAGAATATTCCCCAGGTTGGCTATTCCCAATGCTGTAAATGCTAGTGGGATGAACCGAGTTGGCCTTTAGTCACCATCAGTGATCCTTTCTTTGAGTCTTACAGGCTGCTTTATTCTTTCTTCCATATAAACAGCAGAAAGACTTGCTTAAAGAACATTTGGAGAGGATAGTTATTTTGTTTGTGTCAGAGGGGGACATGCACAGAGCTGGAATATGAAAGCTGGCATCCCTCAGCAGATAACATTGCTGTGACTGCCATTGGCTTTGAGTGTTCTCCTTCCCTGCAGGTGGTGGGACACAAGGTGGCATTAGTGCAGTTGAAGCGTTGCGGAAGGCACATCCATCACTTGGTGACAAGGACTAGCATGACAAGCAGGAGGCAGACTGGCAGACTGAAGAGCTGGGCTCATGCTGGCCACGACAGTCTGGGTGGCCTAAAATCATCGTGGGAGCCTGCGTGGGATCTGCCCTGCCCCACTCAGGGGAGGCTTTGCCTCCCTTCAGGGGGTGCTGGACATGCTGGGCAGCACCCAGCCTCTGCCGGCAGAAAGTGTGCCAGCCCAGTGGGAGCAAACCTGGGACACCCTCTGTGTCGGTGTTTCCTCTGTTGTGGAAGAGGACCAGTGAAGGTGTTGCTCAGTGTGTGTGTACAGCTCCTGGCAAAGCCTGGGGAGGGCCTTGGATGTGGGTCCTGGCGTTTCCCCTGTTTCTTCAGACAAATACTCATGGAAGGCATTGGGAAGGGCTCGGCAGGCTTGCTGATGGGGTGGTTGTTGGCCCAGAAGGGAGCCTGGGGAGGCAGCAAAGGAGGAGGTGAAGCCGTGCCTTTAAGGTTAAATGCTTAAATTGGTGGAGAATCTGACTGAGCAGGCATCGAGGAGATAAAGCGGTGAATATGTTGGCAGTGAGAGGAACAGAGTGAAAGACACCTCTAGAAATTATCTTTCTTACCTTATAGAAAAGTTTTTTACCTGTAAGGCAGAATGAAAACTTACGCTCTGAGCAAGAACGCGGACAGTATTACCAACCTCTGCCTGCATGTTTTTATAGGGCTCTGCCTGGAAGAAGCAGTAAATGTCTTTTAACCACCAGCACCTAAATGTGGCCTAATGATTGATTGGACTGTATCTGCTTTTGATTAAATTCCTGAAATAGACTTTTTGAGTTGAAAATGCTTGGGGAGGCACAAAATGAGACAGTGAAAATTGCAATGTCAGCATCCCTGGCAGGAGAGGCTGAACCCGCAGTATGCAACTCATTTATCCTGAGCAGAAAACAGTAAAAACCACCCAAGGGAAGGCTTTGTTCCATCTCCAGTAGAGACTGAAATGAAATCTGGTGTTGGATAGTCAAAGACAAAGCTCAGCCTTGCCATTGTCACGGTGTGGCTTTCACGGTGGCGTTCCAGCTGGGGAAGGCTGTGCTGTAGCTCTGCCCTGCCACAGCTGAGCCCGTCCAGCCAAACCTTGCTACAGCATGGGCAGGCTTGAGCCCTTCGAGCGTGGCACGCCGTGCTCCTGCGTGCACTGTGTGTGCACCGTGCCCTTTGCTGTGGGCCTGGGGCTGAGTCTCACCCGCCGGTGGGTGTGCTTGGGGTGCAGCATTGGCCTCTCGCTGGCAGCTCCTCTGGTCCTCTCCTGCTCAAGAGGTGTAACCCTGGTGGGATTTTGCAGAGGGGCCAACTCTGGTTGCAGACATCAAACCTTTCAAGGATGCCCAAGTGTGGGTGGGGGCTATCTGACTCTCCTGTTCCCCTGTCACCTGTATAAAACACAATACAGTGGTAGGCATGTGCAGAGAAGATGAAATTAATTCACACTTGTGAGTGAGTGGAGAAAATAAAGCATCCTCACCAATTAGGGTTACCCCATTATCAGTTTGGTAAGAGTCCTTAACTTTTTGCTGAAGTACTATATTGGTTTAAAAAAAACCAAAAAGAAAACCCCCAAAACTGCAACTTGGCAAATAGTTTTTCCAGTATTTTTGGAACTGTTGATTAAGTTGTTCCCTTAAATTGTTAAATTGTTCCAATTTGGCAAATTCTGTTTAAGGCCCAATCCCATTGGTGCTGCTCAGCATATTCATTATTTTCATTAACCACTTCACAGAAGCAGTTTTAAAGGCTCCCCTTAAAGCTGTTTTATTTTGTTGTGGTTTCTCATGCTAAGGTTAGCCGGGGGCCCCAGGCTGAACGCCACCCAGCAGAGGACAACACATCTCAAACCTGTGGTACCACCAGCGAGGAGAACCTGGAGCTGCCTGGTATTGCTCGTCTGACACCCACACCAGCTGTGCACAACACCCGGCTGTTTTGGCAACAACAAAAACTGCTACGGAGATGCCCTTTAATTCAGGTATTTTGTATTGCTAAGCCCACTGGATGACAACATAATTACAGATGCCAGCTTACGTGACTAAGAGCACTGCTAAGTCTCTGGCCTCAAAATAATCAAGGTTTAGAAAACTGCTCAGGAACAAAACAAATCTATGCAATATTCATAGAAATGATAAACTGGGACAAAAATCTAAAAACACTGACGTTACTTGAAGAATATTTTAACTATAACAACTATAAGAAATCTTTGAAACGTCTTTTTCTTTGAAATATTTGTGCCTTGCCATACTTTTTTTTTTTTTTTCTC